AATATTTCTCATTAAGGCCATTCCTGTTAGGAATATGGATTGTGTATTGTCAACAATAAGCAGAAACATTCTGCATTTGCATCCAAGCGTGGATCATTCATTTCAACATTAATCCTCATTCTCATATTTAAGAATCTGTCATCTTTTATGCTACTGCCAGTGCCCACTGACATACTTTTAAAGCTATTGTTATACCATTTTTATGACCTTTAAACACCCTAAAATGCACACATGTAGGTCTGAGAAATCCAAATTTTCTCGGGGGAGTATGCCCCCGAACCCTCCTAACTTCCTCACCTTTGAATGTGTATGACTGTGTGGTAATGTGGGCTGGTATGGTTACAGTGCCAGGGATGCCAGTCTGCCGCTGCATATAGGCCTGCAATATGCATTATTCTCTGTATCGAATCATGCTATCTTATTCCCCACCCCAGCCCCTGATGTTTCGGGTTCAGCCCCTGATGTTTTTGAAATCTAGAAACGCCCCTGGAAATAGAGGTCCACCTACTTTTCTTAGGGGGGGTTCATCAAGGTGGAGTAGCTATAGTTTACTTGTATTAACGACAATTTTGCACTTATTTTATCTACTCCAGTAAAAAAAAAAAAAAAAAATTCTGAAGGATGACCCACCCACATTTTTTTTGCTTCCGACGCCCCTGCCATATATACTTATTGATTACTTGTTGTGAAAATTTAGCTTTGATACCACAGGAATAAATTACATTTTAAAATATATTAAAATAGAAAACTTGTAATATTTAAGAATATTTAAGAATAACAATATTTTATAACGTATTTAAAAAAAAAAAATCTTAGTTGTTCCAAACATTTGACTGCTATAGTATACACTCACCGGCCACTTTATTAGGTACCCCATGCTAGTAACGGGTTGGACCCCCTTTTGCCTTCAGAATCAGAACTGCCTCAATTCTTCGTGGCATAGATTCAACAAGGTGCTGGAAGCATTCCTCAGGGAGTTTGGTCCATATTGACATGATGGCATCACACAGTTGCCACAGATTTGTCGGCTGCACATCCACATTGTGCACATTGTGGTCATAAAGGGATGGACATGGTCAGCAACAATACTCAGGTAGGCTGTGGCATTGCAACGATGCTCAATTGGTACCAAGGGGCCCAAAGAGTGCCAAGAAAATATTCCCCACACCATGACACCACCACCACCAGCCTGAACCGTTGATACAAGGCAGGATGGATCCATGCTTTCATGTTGTAGACGCCAAATTCTGACCCTACCATCCGAATGTCGCAGCAGAAATCGAGACTCATCAGACCAGGCAACGTTTTTCCAATCTTCTATTGTCCAATTTCGATGAGCTTGTGCAAATTGTAGACTCAGTTTCCTGTTCTTAGCTGAAAGGAGTGGCACCCGGTGTGGTCTTCTGCTGCTGTAGCCCATCTGCCTCAAAGTTCGACATACTGTGCGTTCAGAGATGCTCTTCTGCCCACCTTGGTTGTAACGGGTGGTTATTTAAGTCACTGTTGCCCTTCTATCAGCTCGAACCAGTCTGGCCGTTCTCCTCTGACCTCTGGCATCAACAAGGCATTTCCGCCCACAGAACTGCCGCTCACTGGATGTTTTTTCTTTTTCGGACCATTCTCTGTAAACCCTAGAGATGGTTGTGCGTGAAAATCCCAGTAGATTAGCAGTTTCTGAAATACTCAGACCAGCCCTTCTGGCACCAACAATCATGCCACGTTCAAAGTCACTCAAATCACCTTTCTTCCCCATACTGATGCTCGGTTTGAACTGCAGGAGATTGTCTTGACCATGTCTACATGCCTAAATGCACTGAGTTGCCGCCATGTGATTGGCTGCTTAGAAATTAAGTGTTAACGAGCAGTTGGACAGGTGTACCTAATAAAGTGGCCGGTGAGGGTATATTTACTGTATATAATGGATTATTTGTAAAGTATTTATTTTTCAATATTTAAAGCAAAATTTGTTTTATTTGTTTGCTTAAGGTTGTAAAATGGGCCAGTGTTTTAGAGGGCTTTAAAGCAGAAAAAGGGCAAAGCACTTACATGAATTATTCAGTATAAAACTGTTTTTGTTTTAGCTTTTAACTTGTCTAAATCTTCACTTTTTTTAGGTCGGCCTATTTTGTATGTGGATGAACTTGAGGTCATACGTTGCTGAATTTTGTAGGTTGTGGCTTGTCATATGAAAGTTCCTGGGGTTTACCAGCGTTACATAACTGTGACATTTAAGTGAAAAAAAAAAAACAATTTTTACACAAACAAGGTCAGTACACAATTTTGTTATATTAGCCTCACGCTAACTTTCTTTTAAAGGCGTAGTTCACTTAAAAAAAAAAAAAAAACTTTTGCTGATAATTTACTCACCCCCATGTCATCCAAGATGTCCATGTCTTTCTTTCTTCAGTCGAAAAGGATTTAAGGTTTTTGATGAAAACATTCCAGGATTTTCTCCATATAATGGACTTCAATGGGAACCAAACAGTTCAAGGTCCAAATGAGAGTTTCACTGCAGCTTCAAAGGGCTTTAAACGACACCAGACTGTGAATAAGGGTCTTATCAAGTGAAACGATCGCTCATTTAATAAATAAATAACAAAGTTTAAGTTTTATAAGCCCAAATGCTTGCCTTGCTCTGTACTGCGATGCGCGTTCGTGACTCTCCTGTTCGAACTCGTTCATCAAAATGAACAAATCTTTTTTCGAGTCATGACTCGAAGGGTTCTAGATAAGACCCTTATTCGTCGTCTAGTGTCGCTTAAAGCCCTTTGAAGCTGGACTGAAACTCTCATTTGGACCTTGAAACGTTTGGTTCCCATTGAAGTCCCTTATATGGAGAAAATCCTAGAATGTTTTCATCAAAAACCTTAATTTCTTTTCGACTGAAGAAAGAAAGACGTGGACATCTTGGATGACATGGGGGTGAGTAAATTATCAGCCAAAGTTTTTGTTAAAGTGAACTACTCCTTTAAGTATACTTTTGAAACAATTTTAATGTTTACTGCCTGGTCTGTGTTCTTCCTTATAGGTGCTATATAGCTGCATTTTTAATTTCTACTGCCTCTCAATTTCATCATCTTCACTCTGGTCAAAAAGGCAATGTAAAACAACACATGGATTGGAACATTGATTAGTACAAAAATAAAACTGCATCATGGCCTTTAAACTATGTATAATCTTTGTCTTCTCCAAATTTGGATCCAATTCTGCGCAGAAAAGGACAAAATATTAAACGGTTTAACATAACTGGCAGCTTTTATCTAATCAAATTTTGACACAGGGTATATTCTATTTATCAAAACATTCCACAAACTCAATCAATGGATGGATAATTACTGAAACCCACTCAGATGGTCTCTTTGAAATTAGGCATGTTCAAAAAGCCATTCATTCTCAGCATAAACCTGTTTGATATCCATCAGTCTATAGGAGAAATTATAAGTTTACATGATACATGTGAAAAAAGACAAAGCGGATCTATTAAATGGATGATTTATTTGTTTTCTTATCATTTTCCTCAAATGTGATCGTAATGCATTTCAGTGTAAAAATCATTCCTTACAAAGGTTTACAATAATGTCTAGCAATAATTCCAGAGGAATACAATATTATATTTATTGTCATCATAACAATGACAATGGGAGACAGTGCTGATGAGATCCTATTGCAAATCAAAGAAAAGGCAGTGAAGCCATCATGTAGCATTTATTGGCATTTTCTGCATGCGTTTTCCTGTAGAACTAATTTTCTTCCAATGGAACGGTCCATACGATTAAAAAACAAAAATGCAATGCATTGTTTGAAAAAAAAAAAAAGAAAAATGAAGTGCAGGATGTATCTAAAGGTGGCTATCAGTTCCAGTCACCACCTTTTTCAAAGCACATAGTGTAGGTGCACTTTTCAGAAATGGTCATACATTCACTGGATGCACATGCCACCCATTAACGGTAACACATCTTGTTGAAGATTGCCTTTTCGGTTCGCCAGTACTGCCCCTGAAGTGTCCTCACAGTGGTTAGCATGTGACTCTGAAAAAAAAAATGTGATTGAATCAAAGTATAGCTTCAGTATGAACAGTCTGGAGTCTGTCGTTAAAAATCTTCATTCACAGTTAAGGAAAGGAAATCCCTTTAGACCTCAGGTGCACCCATAGGACGGTAGAACTTTATTTGTACAAGGAGGGGTGGACATCAGCAGTCTCCCAGCATCCCAGCAAACCTCAGAACCATGGTATCCTATTTCACTCTCTCCTAGACCCTCCAAATCACTGTTAACAAACATGAGTTGAAAAACACCTTCATTCACAGTTTGGGAAGGGGAGTCCCTCAGATGCACCTGTTGCTAGGTAGAACTTGTTGAATGAGAAGACGGCATATGTTACAGTTCGTCATGTCTATGTCAATGTTTGGCACATGTTCTAATGGCTATTGGTAGTGATTCGTACCAGCCAATTTGAGCTCCAAAAAGAGTGTAACCAACTGATGATATGCAGGGACGCTTGATTGTGGAGATATTGGTTCATGGGTCTCTTGAGCAGAGGTCTCAAACTACCACTAGCCTAGTAAAATCCTCCATTTGGGCCTGATTTACGACCATACAATTGAACTAGATAGAGTTAATGAGGCATGGACAGAGCCATACATCTTTCCTTCATACTAGCATAATGCTTGCATGTTTAGTGATGTAATAATACCTTGACTTGCATTCTAAACTACTTAAACTTTCTTTTCTGCAATTACTGTAGCAGTGTAAGAAAAATCACAAGCTAGCTTTGACATAACAATCAGAAATATTTCGATATAAAAAAAAGACTACAAAGCTATATCAATCTACATATGATATTCAAAATATTTCACAAGATGTAAACAACACTGGTCCAGAAGCACTTCCTGTTTCAGTTTTTTAACACTACATAAAAGCTGGGATAAAATACAACCAACAGAACATTTAAAACTGAATCAAAAAGTTAAACAAACATCTTTAAAATGTTTTCTTTACATTTGAAATAAAGAAAACAGTTACAAACTGAAACAGGAAGTGCTTCTGGACCAGTGTTGTTTACATCTTGTGAATAAAGTGTCTGGAGTAGCTGTAGTGCATCAAAAATAGCAACTTCTATCTACTGAAGACTTATTGCCAAGACTTTTCCCTGTGTAAACCGCTCCTGTTTGAATCTAGTTTGATGTAGATGCATGCAACTCAAACTTTTCTGACTTTGACTTATTTTCTGTGCCGTTCGCTTGTTTTTATTAAACGGGCTACAGTTGTTCTTTTACATTCAAGTTTTAGGCTTGTAAAAGCCATGTGGATAATAAGAAATGTATAAAATTAAATTGCAATATATAATAAACATTAAATTACAACAATATATAAAATAAAAAAATTAAACACTATTGATTGAAATAAAATAAAACGTAAATAGTAAAGGTTTTATTTAGAATATGAAAAATTAAAAAAAAACGATAGTCTATAAATGGTATATATCTATATCTATCTATATCTATATAAATATATATATATATATCTATATATATATATATATATATATATATATATATATACTGTATATATATATATATATATTTAAGGACAAATTTAAAACTTGATAACCCAAATTTGGCCCGTAGGTCAGTTGTTTGAGACCCCTGCTCTTGAGTTCTAAGACCCAAGTCATTGTTCCAATCCACTTACAGTTGTAAGATGTGCTAAACAAAGGTTTGGCGTTTGGAAATTGTCTGTTATAATGTGCATGAGGGTAAATGATGGCCTACAGAGTCTCGTTGACTGAGGAATATTAGGGAATGAGTGCCCTTCCCAGCATCATCCAGTCTCTGGAATAAGAACGGGAGAAGGTTTGTGGGTCAGTGAGGAAATGTGGACATGGAGGTCCTGGCCCGTCGGGTCCAGTTGAGTCCTGAGCTGGTTCCGGTCTCAACCGGTTCAACAGGCTGTTCCCGCTTTTTGAGTTTGGTGCCGAGCTCAATTAAACACTGATCCCAGTCCTCCGGTAACAGCAGCATTAGGAAGCCCAGACAGATGATCAACACAGCGATGAGTCTCACTGTATTGAAGTGGATATCACAGGTGTACAGGTCCACCACTGCAACACCAACAACACACACTTTAGAGCCACTACGGAAAAACGTATATGAAGTTACAATTACTGCCCACTTTGCTATCCTCAGTGGGACTGGGTTCAAAAACAGTTTTATAAAAACCTGTAGCCCTCAAACCGTATTCACTTTATAGCCCTTAATCCTGTAATTGTGGAGAAATGTGGGCACAGAGGACTCAGGTGTGATCCTCATTTGTATTTATTATAAATGTTATATCACTGTCTTCGATAAAGTTTTGTCTATCCATTTATGGTGTTTTTTTATTTTTATTTTGAGGGGTATTTTTGAATTTATTTACTTCAAAAAGTACCATAGTTTCTATGTAAATTAATTACTATGTAATTTTATTTTTTTACATTTTTTAACTACATTAAAATATCATTCCAATAAGTTATTAGAGCTAAAACCTAAAGATGAAGTGACTTTGCTGTCACCTGGTGTCTTATTTTGGCTTATTTTAGAATGCTCTAAATTATAGTTTTTCCCATTCATTTCTATGGGTGCCCATTTTTGACCTAAATACAAGATTAAGGAGTTTTTATTTTTCACCCACTTAACATTGTAGAATTGAGTCAAAAAAAAAAATGTGTGTGTTCAGGAGGCAAACTTAGGAAAAGTAGCCAAGTCTTGTACCACTCGGATAAAAGGAAATACTTTTTTAAAAATAAATCAAAACTGTTTTGCCCACATTTGTCCAGAATACGGTTTTAGGGTTAAGAACAGATATACAATGAACTAAGAATGTAATTGTAGGTTTTCTATAAACAAGTTTGTTTTTATATATAAAAAGTTTACTTTGATGAAACTTAACTCACTTGCATTAACAGGGACACTCAGCACAATGCCAAGTGAAATCAGCTTCGGGTATGTAATGGCAATGCCAAAATTCACCAGCATGTTGAATGCTGTAGAAGAAAAAAATGATGAACAGTTATATATCTCTAAAGACAGTTATTCTAATTGTTGCACATTACATAAATAATACTCTAATTATAATAGTATTTTTTTTCTGTCAGTATTTTATTTACCTAGTAAGAGTCCAGCCACTCCACACATGTAGGCCCAAGGAAGATTAGCTATGGATGTGAAGTACTCAACATGTGTGAAGTACAGTATAACTGGCACAAAGCTCATGAAGACAAAGTTTGCACCACCAACAATGGTTAGAAACAGAGCCGCCTCTCCAAACTTGGCACTGCCCAAGACGAGCTTGAAAAGCACCTGAGAAAACAAAAACAAATAGAACAGCTCAGATACGTTTGTTTCAGTTAATTGATTCATTCAAGTGGTTCATTTTAATGATCATTCACTGCTATTTATATTATACTTGTTTTATTTTAGCTATAATACACTCACCAGCCGATCAAATGATTAACTCAAATATTTAATCAGCCAATCACAGAGCAGCAACTCAATGCATTAAGGCATGTAGACATGGGCTTGGTCCGAAAACGCATACTCTTGCAACCAATCGCAACCGCTAAAAAATAAGTCCTTAGTATGAATGCATGTAGTAGGCAATGAATGTAATCTGGACGTACTGCATTCACCTTGTCATCATGTGACCTACCAGGGTCAGTTATGTCGATTCACTGCTATTCACAAATCCTTTCCTGTGGCCTTGTGGGATAGTAAAGCATCCATCGTATGAATCTCACACTTCAAAATCTTATACTCTTACAATGAACCTCTGTTTAGGAATTGATTTCTTCCATGATGAATGAAGAAAATATGATGAACTTGCGATGTTAGCCTGGCTGTCTCCGTTTTTGTCGAGGTATTACAATAATTGAGGCCCTGTTGATGTGGCTGTGCGGGACTACAGGACAAAGATCCCTTAGGATTCCTCATGGACATTAACCAGGAGAAGACCGTGTGCAGGTGCACTTTAACTTCTATGGAGGTCAATCCTTCTGGGGGTCAGTAGGCCAATGGTAACTTAAGGTTTAGAAGGGAACATTTACGACTCTTTGTCTTCAAGCATAGTATTTTGTATACTGTGTGTAACTGGATTGGGTGTTGAGGCAGAAACTATTAAATATTCTTGTAATATTAATATGTTGCATATATATCATCATATAATATACTGTACCATATAATATATACTTAATGATATATGAAGAGTTCAGATGCAAAAGCCTCTAAGTGCCATTTGAAATTCTCTTCTAGAATAATCATTTTTATCAAGCTTGTATATTTCAATTCAGTAATTTCACTTAAATGGCAATTCTTAGGTAATATTCATTGCCATTTAAGTGAAATTACTAAACTTACATATACAAGCTTGATAAAAATTAACATTCTTGAAGAAAATTTCAAATGGCATTTAGAGGCTTTTGCATCTGAACTCTTCATATATATAATATACTTGACCATGTCTATATGCCTAAATGCATTGAGCTGCTAGCATGTGATTGACTGATTAGATATTTGCATTAACAAGCAGTTGAACAGCAGATACATAATAAAGTGTGTATGCACTCTTAGAAAAAAAGGTTCACTGGGGTTCTATATGAAGCATATGGGTTCTTTACTCAACTCCAAAGAACCTTCTATGCTAAAAAAAGGTTCTATAATGACAAGAAAGAATCCCTTTGGCACAAAGGTTATTTTATAGGCTATTATTCCCTCATATATTACATTATTCTGCAACATTTTGTAGTTGTAATTAAAATATTATTTATTAAACTGTTGTAGTAACTTAATATCACATTTTAATCATGCTGATTTTTGGAGGAGAAAAACTGAAATGGCACTCTTCATGTGATATTGATTAACTACATAAAATGATATAAATATATACATTTTCTAACCCCCATATCTTAAATTTTGTGATCATTCACATGCATTCATAAATACATTTTAGGGTCTTGATGTTTGTCAATAATATGGACAAAACAAATGATAATGAATGAACCCAAAAGGTTCTAAATAGTGCCTTGTTGTTTTTGTGTCAGAAAAAACAATTTTCCTAACAGTGGACAGGATAAATATAAAATAACATAATGTTATCTTTCAAATGGCTACCGGAAAGAAAACAAGGTTGCAATTTGGTGCGATTTCAGGATAGCCAACTGATCTTTCTGTCCAGTTCACTTATTGATTTGTCCTTTTCAGATGACCGCAAGAAAGTACATCACAAAATCAATCAAGACAAATAAGTTTTTTAATTACAGAAAATAAAGCACTCCCAAGACACACAAATAGAGTTATTGATGAGTGCAGTTTCAATGACACAGAACCAAATACCAATTTAACTGAAAAACATTTGGTAAATTGATGTTAAAATACTTTTAATGAGCAATAACCATAGTGTTGACTGCTGAAGTAGGGTTACCTTATAGAGGGCAGAGGCAGATGCAGAGGCCACTACAAGTGTTATGCCAATAACAGAGTGACTGTGAAAGCCATCAGCGTAGGTCAGCATCACTATTCCAGCGATGGCCAGAATGGAAGCAACAATCTTGTAAAAGAACAAAATAAAGGTAATCAAAATAAAGGTCATCACAATGTGTTAAATCAAAAAGACAGTCTGTAGTCTACAACATATATACTGTATATTATATATATGAAGAGTTCAGATGCAAAAGCCTCTAAGTGCCATTAGAAATTTTCTTCTAGAATGATAATTTTTATCAAGCTTGGATATTTAAGCTCAGAAATTTCACTTAAATTGCAATGAAGATTACCTATTAATTGTAATTTAAGTGAAATTATTGAACGTAAACATACAAGCTTGATAAAAATGATCATTTTAGAAGAACATTTCAAATGGCACTTAGAGGCTTTTGCATCTGAACTCTACATATACAGTATATATATATATATATATACACACACACACACACACACACACACACACACACTTGTGTTAACACACTTGTATTAACAAGTGTGTCCAAGTGAAAAAAGTTTCCAGAGTGTAGCCGAATTGAAAAAAAAAAAAAAACATTATGAGGGTGTCAGAAAGATTGATTACTCCCACCCAAAGACCCTCCTGAACAGCTTTCTGAAAAGCTTTTTATTCTGGTTCAACAATCTCTCTCTGTTGCCCATATTTGAAGGATCGTGGTTTTGCATTCTCCTGGATGTTGCTATATTCATATCACCACCATCTTGTCAGGAGTAACAAAGAAAAACACCTCATGAAACCTGTCAAGAACATGTCCAGGGCATATTTGACCATACATTTCCAAGCAAGAAACACGAAATATATTAACACTAAGAAAATTAAGACTATTTTAGGACAATTATTATTTGTTATTTTATTTTGTTGTTTAACTTGACACGGAAAAATGTTTGTTTTTCAAAATCTTCACTCACGTCTCACCCATTTTCCCAGGAGATTCTAAATGACCCCCTCCCCTTTTTTCCCCCTTTTAAATTACTAAATTCGCATCCTTTACTCTGATAAGATTGTGGGTCATTTCTTCTGGGAGAGCAGCACATCACATATCTAAACTGGATCACAAACCAAACACTCTTACTATCGCGAGCTCATGGTCTCTCTATCATCTAATGTTCTCTAGGAAATTAACTAGTACTGCACCAGGGATATCCAAAAACCCTGAGTCATCAAAATCTGCCAAGCACTGCAGTGTGTGTGTTTGTGTGTGTGTGTGTGTGAGAGAGAGAGACAGAAAGAGAGAGCAACAGGAACACAGAGAGACAAAGAAAATGTTAAACAGCACTTTGGTTTCTTTGATCCGAGAAAAAAGAAAGGAGCACAAAGGAAGAAGACAGAAAAAGGATTGATTGTGAAAGCAAATATTGTACTATGATGGAACTGCTGACTCATGAGATTAGACAGCAGCAGGGACTAGAATAACAGTCATCAATCCACAACCAAAGGTTGGCATGACATCTATCCATCCATCTGTCTATAAAGCTATTTTAGCAACACTTGCGATCAAGCATCATGAAAAGTGCATGTCAAATCGATATCTAAAATTTCTTCCATCTATCAAACTATCCATCCAACCACTCACCCTGACGCCCATGAAGCGATCCCGCAGCACGATCCAGGACAGGAGAAAGACGAAGGCTTTGTTACAGCAGAAGAGGGCAGATACATCGGTGCTGTTGATCTTTCTCAGCGCCTGAAGGTATAGGTAGTTTGTCAGAATCCACAGCAGGCCGAAAGGGGCCACTTTAGTGAAGAACACTTTCGCTGTTAGTCCGTCGTCCCCGAAGAACCGACAGCACTCTCTGAAATATCACATACACAAACATAAAATATGAATTTACAACCCTCTCGAAACCTCTCTCTGTCACACAAAACACCCAACAGATAGTTAGACCAATTGAAAACAAACTTTTAAGGCCACATTCCCACATTAAAATGTTGAATGTGTCTGTGTGATGTGATATGATGAACAAATACGTACAGAGATACCATAAATCTTTGGCCATTACGCCTATAATTGTCCTCGGTTCACCTCCATGTTAGATAATGGACTCTAATTACAACTGAGAGTAAATTCCTGCTGAAAAGTCCAGTAAAATGGATTCCATGCTGGTTTTGGTTAGTGCTGGTGTGGTAATGGTCCAGGCTGGTGTGCACAGGGTTAGTGCTGGTATCGTGCTGGTCTAATATGCTATTCTCAAGCAAAACTAAGATGGTGAAGCAGGTTCACCAGCATGGTATGGCCATCATGTCAGTGCAGTCAGGAGCATGACATATTGTTGATAACAGTGATAGCATGCACTTTCAACAATTGCTGAAATATAATGAATTCAACCAAAGTCAATGACAAAGGGCCCAACTAAAGGGAACACTAATCACCATAATGTTTGAATTCAACAACCTTTGTACTATATGAACAAAATAAACCCAAACTGTACTTTTGAAGGGTACATTTGTAATAAGTGAATATGGTAATGCTGTTTTTGGAGTTGTTTAATAATCCTCTTTTTCAGTGATTCAGTGATTCATTCAGTGATTCTGCTTGTTAACTGTATCATAACTAATGCTCAATCAGCACCTGTAGAGAAAATCTACTTTATTTCACAACATTGCTTCAGATTGGGGCCATATGAAAACTGAGCAGTGTGTGTTTTTACTGGTGATTTTACTGTTTAAACATGTAACCAGAGACATATTTTTACTTTATTAAATAATTAAAATTTTATTGTTTTTTTAACTATGATCACACAGTAACAAGGACGGACTTGGACTAAAAACGGCCCTGGACTTTGACTAGGCCAAGCCCAAAGGAATTGGTGCGCGAAAAATCGTCAATAACGCCAATTGTGGCTCATGATACTATACCATCCAAATTATAGCTAACAGCATATTATACAATCTATTCCATGCTGTCTTAAAATGAATGTATTACTTGATAATCTTAATTAATTTATGTAGTAATTAATTTTAGCTACTACACAAATAATAATACCACATCTAAATGAAAATAGGCTACACCATTACAAAAGTAACTTCTATTCAAAATCTTCAAAGTTTGTAAGCACTAACTGTAACGTTACCAACATTTTAACATATTTCTTAATATTAGCTACTGCATGAGGCATTTTACAGCTAAAATGTTGAGCTGTTTTAACTACTGTAATCATTAAAAATGAAGCAAGCTGAATATCACTTCCTAACATCATCATCCCTAGGAAGTAACTTGCAAAGTAATTTCTGATTAATTTGGCTCGGGAGTAGTAGAGATAAAAGCCCGCCCGCACTGACAATTGATTGGTTGGGTCCTTACATGCTCTTTGTGAGGCACACGTGCACACTAGCACACACACGCTAGGTCTCTCACCCCTGCACCAGTGGCATAACTATCGGTAAGCAGGGTACGCGGTTGATTACGGGCCCAGACCAATCAGGGGCCCACGTGACTGGAAGATATTGATTGAGAGCCGGGCCCCCCATCGCATTTTCTATTTTGAGTCTGATCGCATTTTAATTTTTCGCAAATTTATTTGAATAAATAATGACGACAACATATTTTACTGATCATTAAATGTATGTTTGAAACAAACAATGATGGATTTTGGGGACTGGGGACTGGGGAATCCCCGGGTGAACATGCGCATTGCGTGCAAAAATAGTAAAAAAAAGTTTGAACTTGAGATTGATATGGATAATGGAGTCTTCAAATTACAATACAAACACAAAAGTGGCTTTCAAAAGCGCAAACGGAAAGAGGACTTTGACAAATTAATTAACAAATTACCAAAAATAGGAAACTTCTTTAAAAAGATGACACAGGAGGGGGAGATTGAGATGGAGCAAGAGAATGAAGCGAGTGAAGCATCTGATGCGACCGTTGGTAGTAGCAGCGCCGTGGATAATGCTAGCCTGGAAAATGCAGCTATAATGCAAGTAAGAATTTTTTTTATGTATTTGGACCTAGGCCTATGTGTGTGTAGTCATAGCAGTGAGTAACAATGTGTTATGGTGCGCCGTCACCAGCAGTGTTTTTTTTTTTATGTAATATTGTCGCTTAAGGGCCCGGTGTTGGCTCGTTGCGCCACTGCCCCGCACACTAAGAAATGTGATATGTAACATACACAAGTTTTGTTGTGGTCTTTCTGGGATCATACCAGCAAAGAAAAGACAACATATCAGCATGTAAAAGATAAGTGCTGTACTTATGTGACATATGAGTGACTGTAGCGCTTCCATGTACAATCAGGCAAATTGAGTAGTCCACCTCTCCATCAGGAAATTGGACAAACCATTTCATTCGGTCACGCAGGTCATTCATTCAACTTCATTCTCATCTCTTTTCAGTAATTTTTATTGATTAAAGTGTCTATTCATTTAGGTTATGTAAACATCATGGGTATTATTGAAATTTGTCTTCCATGTTTAGGATTCATTCATTTGGTTTGGTCTATATATGTGATTCTTGTTTCATGAAAAGCAACGCGTGTCTTTGGCTTTCGTCACTGGATTTTGGATATATTTAATTGCTCCAAAAGGGAAGTTGCATATTTTTATTGTGTGACACTATTTTTGTATGACTACCCCATTATTTTAATTGGAGAAATTAAAAAATCTCTTCCTTTTAGAGTCTTTGAAATGTATAAAATTGTTAGAAGTTCTAAATAAAAGTGATTGTTTTGCATTTAAAGATGATTTTTATAATTAATTAACTGCTCAATCGGCTGTATGCCATTCAATATTTTGTTAAATGGAATTTATTGTGTAATGATGTTGGGAATATTGCCTTTTCATCTATGCACATCTCCATCCTTTTTAATAACATTGAGGACTGCATTGGAATTGTGTTTGTTTATCCTCAATTTTTCTTTTTATTGTATGGCAAGAACGTCTTGTATGTTCTAGAAAAAAAAAAATCTTATCTATTACATTTACAGGCTTCAGCAACTTCAGTCGTCTACCTCTGATTTTTGTGGAAAGTTATGGGATAGAGTTATGGCTTAATAATAACACTGTTATTCTGAAATGATTCATCCATAACTGATGAAAATGATGTTGATCCATAAACATATACTTCAATTCACGTTGTGCATGAATATGGTCTATTTACTTCAATTTAAAGCTTGATATTTTCCAGGGTCCATGTCTCTGTAAAGTGTATCCCGAGTTGATGTCACTTTTTAAGGTCAACATATTAAATGACCCACAGAAAGAGAAAAAGCATGAACTCAATTTTTGAAAAAAGCATGAACTCAATTTTTGAGAAAAAGCATGAACTCAATGTATATTCCAACAAATATTAGTTTCTATAGCAGGAACCTTTCTATTCTCATATAAGATGCTAAACTGGTCTCTGGGTTTATATTTAAAAAACCAGCCAATCCTACTATTTTAAATAACATTCGGTTTGGATACATTAAGTTGGCTACTGCTTCATTCAGTCAATGCATTACAAGGCACTTCGCATTAACCAAAAAAATATCTTTCTGCCTTTCCCCCCTCCATTTTTACAAAGCCTTTGAACTTCACTGCTGGTGTTTACTCCTGAGTCTTCAAATCCTGTACTGAAGTGCTGCTAATATTGTTTTGCCCTGTATGACAATTTGATTGGGCTTTACCATCATTTAAAGCTACACTGTGTGATTTTTACCCCCATCTAGCGGTGAAAAGGTATATGACCATTCCAATAAATATTAGTTTCTGTTCCTCTCAATTTCGATTTCGTTTTAACTCCTACGGTGGCCAATGTAGTCGAAGATTCGACCTCGTCCATGAGTGTTAACTCAAAGGTAAACGCGAAAGGCGAAGCTTGAATTAACGGGTATGTCCCTCTTTGGCAAATGTACTTTCAAGATGGAGGGGCAACATGGCGACCAACATTAGAACCCCTTACCCGTATTTATTTTCAATGGCATATTATACACTCATGAGAATACTTTATTACTTCAACGAAGTAAATATACATTAATGAGCACATATATTTTTAAAAGAGCTAAGTGTTTTTAGCTAAGAATAGACAGAGCAGAAGATAATTTCCTTTAATTACTCGGTTTAAATAAGCAATGAGTTTGCTTAGTATTCAGCACATACAAGATCAAAAGACAAACCTGGAGAGGACAACCCGTCTGTGTCGGCACAGAATTTCCCAAGTGTCCCCTTCAACAGAGATTAGGGTCACAAAAAGGGATTTCACTCAAACGCAAAACCCTGCTCTGCTATTCCCTCTGCATCAGAAACTGCAGTAGTAAGCTGCATGCATTTCCCCCCCGAAAAGGCAATCCCAGAATGCATTGCTGGATAAACACAATCTCACGGGTCCAGATTTTTACCTGAACCTCTGTTTTGGTGTCTGTCTTTCGGGGCTCTTGCACAGGTGGCCAGCGTAATACAGAGGAAAGAAGAGGCAGTTCCATGTGGTGGCGAACCATGTGAGAGTGAAGGGTGCGTCGTACTGCCTGAAGGTCAGCTTGGCCAGCTGGGTGGAGCCCGCCCATGACGAGCACACGCATATCACCATGGCAACGCCCCATATTGCTTTTCGCACCTGGACGGCAGTCACTCGCACGCAGCAGCGTAATCTCTGCTTCCCCGTCCCTGACTCCACCCCCGCTCCGCCCACCATCGCCTGTCCGTCGGCGGTGCCCATGGCGGTCTCCCTCGGACGCTCCTCCCCTGCAAGCAGACAAAATGTCATCAGTTGCTGATTTATGAGACCATTTATTTTCTTTTTTTTAAATATGGTTTTGTGCAAACAGACAATAAAATCACTGTAAAAATCCCCCCACCCCCCTCCCCCAAATATGAACTGCAGGGTTGCAGTATTACTACAATCTCTGCAGTGAAATGTGACGTTTTCAGTGATACAGAACAAATGAGGTAATCTGGATGCACTTTTTATGCAGTTTTTCAGCTGCACTTGCTATTTTTGTAAATGTCCTATAAGCATACAAAAACATTTCCCCACATTTTTGGCTCTTATGATGAGATTTCTTTAGGTTCAACTTATGGAAATGCATTAATCATAGTCAGAGAATCAAAAAAATGAAAAAGTTTTTCTTTCAGAACTCTCAACAAGATGAAAATACTAAAAAAAGTCATCTTTTTATCTTTATATATATATATATATATATATATATATATATATTTGCATTTTTATACAAATATTCTCAAATTACAATTAAATATAATTACAATAAAACAGTTTCTAATTAAATTTGTGCTGGGCGACGATTAATCACGATTAATCGCATCCAACATAAAAGTTTGTGTTTATATAATATACGTGTGTGTACTCTTTGTAATTATTTTGTATATATAAATACAAACATATGCATGTATACATTTAAGAAATATTTGCACGTATATACTGTATATATATATATATATATATATATGAAGAGTTCAGATGCAAAAGCCTCTAAATGCCATTTGAAATTTTCTTCTAAAATGACCATTTTTATCAAGCTTGTATATTTAAGTATAGTAATTATACTTAAATGACAATTAATAGGTAATCTTCATTGCCATTTAAGTGAAATTACTGAACTTAAATATACAAGCTTGATAAAAATGATCATTTTAGAAGAAAATTTCAAATGGCACTTAGAGGCTTTTGCATCTGAACTCTTCATATATATATATATATATATATATATATATATACATAATGCATATTATGTATAAATATAAATATTACATATACATGCATATATGTACAAAATTATTATACACAGTAAACACAATTATATCACGTAAACACAAACTTTTATTTTGGATGCAATGAATCACGATTAATCATTGCCCAGCACTAATTTTAAAATGTAATTTATTCCTATGTGTTGTTTAGTTTATCAGTATTTTAGTTTTGTTTTTTCTTGTTTGACCTGCCTGTAATTTCCTTGTCTGTTTCCATGGTTTTTCATTGATTGATTAGTTGAACACCTGTTTCTTGTTTCTTTGATTTGGTTTTGTTCTAGGTGTGTTCCGATTTACAGGGTCCCTACGCAGTGTTCACTGCTCCCTACTCCCTGAGCATGGGATATCCGTTGAAGTGGACTTCTGATAATAATCGCTCATTTGGAACGCCCTGCAATGTCATCAAAGAAAGGCAATGATGGGGTCACACAAATTATGACATAACATGAATATTGTCATTTACTGTACATTCAAATGTAAAATACATATACAAAACACTCATCATGTTGGTCTTTTTTTTTAAAGTATAATCAAATCTTATATGTTAATTATAAAATTGTTGACTATTATTAACAGATTTGAAGTCATGCCATATGAAAATAAATTCTGATTTGGTTAACCATGTGCATATGTTTTCCTAATCTATGGTCTTAATAATCGAATTGTAGTGGTCTCGTCTTGTGCGCTTTCTTTAATAAAAACTCCTGAGGTAAATAAAGTAAAAGCCTCAGCTGCGTCTTGCCAGTTTTACTTTGTCATATCTATTCATACAGTATAATATGTAAATGTAAAATTCATTGCCATAGCCATTCATAAATACTCTAGTTTGTATAATAATAACAACATTTATGAATACTCAAACGCTTAACGTTTAAAAACACTTGCTCCATCTTTAGTTCTGACTAGATACGTGGTGCTCAATGACAGTAGGGTGATTTTTCTTCCTCACTTCATGTAAGTGAGGTTGGGCTATCGATGTTCCCTTATTCCCTATGCCATTCACAGTGCCCTTCGAACTGAACATGTTCACTCCCTTCGGATTGGAATCGCACTTAAGATTGTGAAACTATTCAATGAATGAACTATTCCAATGGAATGAACCTTTTGTTTGGTTGATTTTTCTGTTCTTGTTTTTGGAAGCCCAGTAGGCCTATACTGAGAGCTTTTATTTCATGTTAAATTTTATGTAAATAAACCATAACTGCTGCAAATAGATCCCCCTTGATATCGTCACTGCACTGTGACAGAAATACCGAACCACAAAAATGGATCTAGTGGCAGTTCATAGCAGTTTTTGTGGAAACCGTGGTACATTTTGAATAAACAGTTTGAAAGAATAGCATTAATTCAAAATTTTTTGCAACTTGTAAATGTCTTTACTGCGCTTTTGCATCCTTTAGAAGTAAACCTTTCTGTCACCATTTTTGTCAAGCATTCCAGTATTACATGGGTTTTCAGATGTTTAAAAAATCCCTGAAATGACTTGAAAGATGTCTAATCCATTGCTTTCTAAAGAAATTATACATCACATTCTCACCAGTGTTCCCTGAAATATCGAAGAAGCAATCAAAAGCACAGCTTACTGTACTTAAAGTGTCAAGGGTAAATGCTTGAAAACCAAGAATACTTTATAAAACAGGAACTCTGAATAAAATCTGTCCGAAGTCTCTCAAGAGCTGCAGTGCTATTGTTCAGATCAGATAAGCACTTCTCAAGCCCACCGTCAATTCATAAACGCTCTTAATGGGTCTTAATAGCCCTTCATCTATTCACACGCAGAAAAAAAAAAAACAAGTGGAGTAATCACTGGAGGATTCAAACTGTTTATCCATAAAGAGAAAAAGGTGCAGTGCTGAAGCATGATTACTCTATGAAACACAATAACATCCTTAACAAGGTAATGATGATTTTTCGTTTGCAAGGCTATTCACAAGAAAGTAAACACTCAAATACATTGTTCACAATGGCAAACTAACAAACATACTAAGTAGATTCCAGTACGCCAAATATTGTATCTCATGTAAAAGATTTTAAAAGAACACTCTAGTCCCTGTTTAAAGCTGGTATTGATGCATTTTGGTCGATCAGATCACAAATACAACCTCTGTTTGAAAGTGGACAAGTTTAAATAGTTCCAGACCCCGTTTACACCGGTATTTAGCATCATTCACTTGATACCGGATTGAAGGAAACAAATTAAGTCTTCTTAATACCTGCTGAAAACAGTGCTGTATGTAACACAGTCTCATCCCAAAAAGTCATATAACTGACGTCTTGGGACGTTTTTTGACCATACGTCAATATCCGCCTTTTTAGGGCCCCCTTAAACGTCGGTAGATGGCGATCCCGGGCCGTCATACAACTGACGCTTTACCTTTAACGTCAGTTAGGTGACGGGTTAGGTTTAGGTCTGGGGTAGAGTTAGGATCCCATAACCTCATCTACCGACGTTTAAGGGGGCCCTAAAAAGGCGAATATTGACATATGGTCAAAAGACGTCCCAAAACGTCAGTTATATGATGTCTTGGGATGAGACCGGGTTGCTGTATGCTCACCAAAGCTACATTTATTTTATTAAAAGCAGTCATTAATCATGTCTTCAGTGTCACATGATCCTTCAGAGTCACATGATCCATCAGAAATCAATCTAATTATCCTGATTTGGTGCTTAAGAGGTTTTTTCTTATTATCAATGTTGAAAACAGTTATACTGCTTAAGATTTTGGGAAACTGTGATTACATTGCATAATCTCTAACATTAATCTATATTGGTCTCTTAACACTAGGTGATACTTTTATAGAATTTTTCAGAAACATTGCATAGCCGAAAGCTTCCATTTCAAATGAAAGACACTGAAGCTATGTTTACACGGAAACAATTCTGAAGAGAAAAGGCAAAAGTGGTGTTGCGTCATCTTTTTTTTCTGCATTTAAACGAGCGTTTTGTGTGGGAAATCCGCATGCAAACGGAGACGCAAAAGTGTGTGAAATTCAATGAAGTATGCATTTCAGGCGGCTAGGAGTGCATACTACAACAACACCAAGTCTACGTGCCCGCTTACAACTTTCACCGTCAAGCAGACTTTTGCGTTTTTACCGTTTACACGGGAATGCGGCAGTGGAGCGTTTTTAAGATTTCCACTCTGGAGGTTTCACTTTTTTGCGTTTTTGAGGCTCAAAAATGCCGTTGCCGTGTAAACGAAAAGCACATCCGATAAAATATTTTTACGTTTTCACCCGCGAGCGTTCTCGTGTAAACAGGGCCTGAGAGCTCAAACATCATATACTGGGCTAACATCACATAATACCCTGACTCCTAATCTTTATAGCAAGTTATTTAAAGTGAAAAGTGGGGTGGTCATGGCGCAGTGGATAAGACACATGCCTTTGGTGTGAGAGACCCGAGTTCAAATTCACTGTGAGACACCAATGTGTCCCTAAGCAAGACACTTAACCCCTAGTTGCTACAGAGGCGTGTGACGTCTGACATATATAGCAATTGTAAGTCGCTTTGGATAAAAGCGTCAGATAAATGAATAAATGTAAATGTAATGTAAATGATTTTCTCTTGAGGCCGTCTAATTCATAACCAAGAGCCTAGAGCAATTTTACACAGACAGATTGAGTGAAGACTGTAAGACAGCACCTATTTGTAGTGGTGGGCGATACTGCAAAATTTCGTATCGATACAATAGGGTCAGTATTGCCAATACCGATACCAATACGATACTTTTTACTTAAAAAGAAAAATACTTTTGTGTAGTGGAGAGCAGTATGTCATTATTTCTGAGGTGAATGAATGATCAATTCTTTAGGCAATATTTTTTTAATAATGTATTGAAGTGGACACAGTGAATCCATCCCAGACAGCAAACTGACATTGAATCAACGTGGAAACGACGTCTCTCATGACATTGAAACAACGTTGATTTGCTCATCGAATTAACGTTGAACCAACGTCAGACGCGGCATTCTTC